TCTGGTCCTTCCACCGCCCCAGCACTATGATAGCACACAGCTGCTTTCAGAGCCTGTTCTATTGTGCTTCACCCTCCCACCTAAGCAACCACTGAGCTCTATAATGATGGCACCTAGTGACATAGTTGCTTTTAGACCCAAACGTTTGGCCCTTTGGCCTCCCGTCACCCTCTCATGCAGTGGAAACTATTGCTGACAATCAGGACCCAATCATTCCACCGGAATTCAGTGTGGCGAAAGGGAAAGGGTGATTTCGGCAGGGGTGGAGGCCATCGCTCTTAGCTTCTAGGTTGGAGAGCCATTACTAACACTGTGCAGAAGCCATCAGAGGCCATCCATGGCCCCAGTTTGTGGAGCCAAACAGTCCAAGCCCTTTTGACAGGCACCTCAGACCTAGCCTCAGACCTAGCGGACCACGTGTCCATTGGCTTAGCTCACGAAAAAGCGCAGGGGAAAAGAGCTTGACCTGGCAGAGTGTCCCTATGGATCCCTATGGGACGGCTGGTTGCCAGCCAGACACTGCACAGAGAGTGGGGGAGTTCTATGCTTTGGGGTCCTTTCCTTGGAGCCCTCGGCTCCTCCAAGCAAGGCTCACTAACAAAGGTGTTACCGTGTTACCCTCTTTCCATTAAAATTGAACCGGACAAAACTCCCTGTTGGTAGAAGAGTATCGTCTTTCCAGGGGCCGTGCCATCCACTTTCACTATTGCTTGAGGGAGGGTACCGTATGGCTTGGCCTACGCATGCCTATTCCTTCTAGCATATTTCAGCAACTGGCTTTGTCTTGAAGAATCAAGGTGGCCTAATCGTGTTGCGGGGGTCCAAGTCCCTTCTTAAGATCTTTGAGAGGCATAGATCAAGAGCCACCAACCTGCCTCGGCTCCGATGCCCTTCAGGGTCGTTGGCTCCGTGACGATCTAAAGGGATGATTTCTTTGGAAAAAGGGAAGTCGCACTCACACTGGAGCTGTTCCTTTCGTCATGTCTCATCCAAACTCACATGATATTTGTGTACATCTTGTACATAAACACACACACACATAGATAGATATATATATATATATAAACACTATATATATATATAATGGTTTTAATGGTAGCAGATCCAGTTCGGCGCGGAGCCGAAAGTCCGGATCTCCAGGTGACGTCCGTGACGCCGGAGCCTCACCCGCCGCTCAGGCTGGGAGAAGCGCGTCGATGCAAACTCACCGGTGTTTTCAAGTGCCATGTCGAGCTTTAGGATTCTTCTACTGTAGATTTGTTGGACCATATATGCATATAATATATATATATGCTGCCTTGGCACTGGGCACCAACTTGTTTCCTGAAGAATTCAGATGTCATGGAGCCTGAACATAGATCTTTTGGTCATTTCATGATACCATGCAATTGTGTGTTTATAGCTTTATTGGTCCCTCACAGCAACATCCCCTCAATTGCATCAGAAATGCTGGTGTACACCACTCTCGGGCAATTCACTCAGTATATATGTTAAAACAACGCTGTGAGGATGATTTTAGGGCTCTATTTGTGTTTCGAAAAGATTCTTACACACATCGGTGGGCAGTTTTATCCCAGGGAAGACGATGTGCTCTCGCCGAGGCCAACCCCAGTGTGAGACGTGCACCACTCCGTGGACGGGCGGGAGGAACGGGATCTCAACATCGCCGAGCGATTGGCCGGGGTGGTGTGGAGCATCGCATGAAGATCCCGGGTCAGGCAACCCAGTGGGTACCATCGGGATAGATTCACATTATTGTGGACTTGATGATGAGCCAGCAGCCACCAAGTTTGGCTATGAAAGAGTTAAATAAAGTTTCTTTTGGGCAGTGGGGACCACGCAAATGTGGAGCCACCGAAACGTTTGAGCACCTGTCCCCAGCCAAGTGACCTACCGATTGGTGTAGCTTTGCTGTTTTATTGGGTAACCTGCAAGACTTTGGACATTTGCAGGAAAGGTCTGGTGTGGATTCCTGGGACGAATTTTGGGGTAGTGTTACCATGTGCAATCTTTTGGACCACGGGATTCCCATCAACCAAACCACCACCGACCACAAAGTATCCCAGGGATATGTTTTGGTGTGTTGGGATAGCGTGACGGAATATATGTTTTAAAGGGCACTGTCTTTGGAGGAGGGGATCATTTTTGTTCATGTCGACACCGGGTTAATATTCCCACACCCCTCCTGAAGGTTTACGATATGGGGACGGGTCAGAAAAGTGCAATTAGACTTTTATTCGGGGGGCTTCAATCAGGAGAGGTCACCAAGACTAAATCTCTTCATAAGGAGAGGCCCCAAAGTCTAAATATAAATCTCTTCATGAGGAGGGATCCCCAAGACGAAATCTCGTCATGAGGAAGGATCCTCAAGAGAAAACCTCTGCATGAAGGCTACCAATGCATTGCCAAATTCACACGCCACTTGAAGTGATATCTCCCGTGTTGCCTTAGAGGTAGCACACCAAACCTTAAAACAAAAGAGCAAGAAACAACAACGATAAAATATGCCTGATGAAATGTGGCAGAAAATTGCTGCCAGACAGATTGAAGACAAGAATGCAAATCCGCAGGCCTGCAGGCTGTAAAAGATCTCACACCAAATCAAAAACTCAGTTAGAAGGGACAAACATATCGCAACTGTTTGAATCTCTACGGGAAATCCCTTATCAGAAGGAAAAAACGGACCGACATGAAGAACATGAAACATTATTTGATCATCAACCCAGGTTCATTCATATGAAAATCCTTAGACATGAACACCGAAAGACAGAGCAGAAGCCATTGCTTCACATCTCCGCAACAAACAATTATTTGCCCTCTAGACAGAACAGACCAGATTGTAGAAGTGTCCAAAATGTCAGCTTTTGGTCCAAAAGATTCTTTGAAAGGCGTTTAGAATTTGAGCTAGGCCCTGAGGCGGACCAAACTAATTGGGTGACATTATCAATTGTGTTTTGACAATATGTTGTATGATAGTATGCGTTACTATGTAATACCAGGTACAACATGTGTCAGCTTGGTTTGTGGCACGGGACAGTGTATGAACATAATGTGCACCCAGTTATTTGGCTACGTCAGATGATAGGAGCCCAGTTTATCTAAGCTGATAGTATTCCCACATAGAGTTCAAATTGATTTGGCGAAACATGGAGAAACCAGGAAAGTAGCTATTATTAGGAAACACCAACCTCAACTTCAATATTCAATATTTAAATAAAGGACTCCACTTCCAGAACCGCGTTATGTTTGGCGGGCATTCATCCCAGGTCCTCTCGGACATTTCAAGTGAACGCCAGAGAGGAAACCACCGGTTGGGGGCCAAACCATCCACTTGATCCTGATCATGCCAGGAAGGCTAACTGGGTTTCAGAAATCGCTCTCTCACACATCCCCCTCGGACAGCTTCGCACCGCCAGTGCCGGCGAGACACCGTGCCGGGCGGCCCCAGTGAGCGCGGCCAACGGGCGCGGGCGGGGGTGCCAGTGCAACATGAAAGGTTCACCATCCCAGTGGGTCACCTGAAAAGAAAAGTAAAAATCACCATGTTTCTCGGAGTGTTCGCCGAAACAAGTGGACTTTGTCAGATCTAATAGGGTCCACCCAATCGGGTTTCTTTCAGGTCGAAGTATCGTAAAGCGCCATGGTGGTGTGAGGAGGGGGCCCGTTGTTGTGTTTGGAGTCTATGGAGGTCATAGAAGCAAGAAACGTTAGATTCGGACATTGGACCGCAAGACGGCGGGTGTTGAACGTTTTGAAGGGTTCAAACATTTCATATTCTCTGCAGTGCATTCATTGGCCTGAACGCACGCGCAAGAAGTATTCACCGCATAGTTTACACTAAGCACTCCATGGCAGACACGAAGGACTGTCCAGGTTTCGTGACTGCGACCATTCTGTGTTGGGCATCCCATGTGAGGCAGGTGTGTTAGATATCGGAATTTGTTGCGTTGCTGAAATATCAAGTAGTTGTTTGGCGACAAGTAGTCTTTGGGGATTTAAGCCGGGGTATGCAAAATGGGGCACTCTCTATTTTGAGGGCTTCTTGGCTACTCGTGGAACAACATGACGGCGGCCTATTTCCTGTAGGATCATGGGTCACAAACGCTAATTTAGGGATGTCGGCATATTAATGCCAAATTTATCCTTTACCAGCTTTGCTTGGGGATTTGTTGTTTTTCTGGGGCGTACGGCGTACGTTTTCAGACCTGTATAATTTGTGCATGTTGCCCATCAAAGGGCTCAAATCCTATGGTCCTGTACGTTATTTTGCTATGACTTTTGCAGTAGGAGTTCCCTTTGTAGCTATAACTCTGCATCCTGCAATCCTGAAGTGACATAGTTCACCCTGTATCCAGTTCTCGACCAACAGCTCCAACCCGGCAGGTGATGGCCCGGCTGCTCTCCTGATGCAGCATGCGCGCCAGCGCTGCACCTAGACCTCGCTGAGTCTCTGAAGTGGTGGGTGGAGGTCGCTGTTGGAGAAGATATCCTGGACGTGATTTGAACAATGAGTGAAATCGGGCGCGCTCCGAGGTATTTTTTCATATTTTTTTGGTGTTGTTATCCTCCAAAACCAGACGTCGCAGATGCATCATGACTGCTGCTTGACACTAGATTCTATAGTAGTGTCCATAGTGTCCGCTTCATTTTTGGTTTTGCACGACTTGTTTGTTGCCGGTTCTTTCCTCATTGGATACCTTTGGTCGATGGGTCGCTGTTCTAAATGCATCAGATTCAGATGCCAACCCTTGGGACGGAAGGGGGCGATGCGAGGATCAGGATATCATGACTTTGGATGGCAAGACACTGCATAGCCCTTTAGTACTGTCAGCCTATGCTTTAGATCGCTGTTGATTGCAGCTAGGTGCTTCGGGATTGTTGTATGCTAAGTACTAAGAACATCTAAGAACCTTAAAGAGCACCTAGACCACACGAAAAAAAACAAAAAAACAACTACAGTAACGTTCCTAGCCTCAACCGGTCCAAACCGTCGTCACCGCAGACGCTGACCTCGACGCGACGACCCGCCGGCCGCCCTCTCCGCACCGCGACGAACGCTCATGGCGCTCCGACGCTTCAACGCGGGCGGAAAGAAGCAGAAGGAGCTCACAGAGGCGCGGGTGACGCACGCGACGAACGGGCGCCTGCAGGCGAAAAGGGAAAACGGATTGGCAACACATGGCACACTCGATGGGAGTATATGACTCAGGGGTGGTGGGTGCGTTTGCCCAACTTCTGTGCCGACCATTGTATAGTTTCTGGCGTGTATCGAGCAACTGGTTAGACTGGTTAGGCCTTATCGGCTCCAGCTGGTGTTCATAGGGGAGGGTCAGCCTTGAGTCTTGAGGGTTCACGCGGCCATTCTGTCAAGCCGCCTAGTGACTTGAAAGAAAACCGCTAGGAGGGAAGAGATATGGTTATCCCCAGCACTTTAACCGACTACATGGGTGGGAGAAGATTTGTGGGCAAGTCTGGGATGGGTTTGCACATCCTTGAGGCTTGTCCCATTCCCACAAGAAAAGTAAGTAAGTATTAGTGAACCGATATCTCATTGAGTTATTGTCATTGTCCTTTAACTTATTTAGTTATTGTCATTTAATTTTGGCATTCAATAACTGAGGGACCTATAATGTATTTTCAGAAATTACACAGCTGGAGATGCTGGAGGACCCCGGTCCCCACCATTAGTGCTATATAACGGATAGTTAAGTAGCAAAACATATACGTACAGGCCCTTGTCAACCATCATCATCTCATTCACTTCTTGTGGTATGGGACACTTCTTGGACAGTAGCGAAGACGATGGATCACATGCTTGGTGTCATTCTAGAGTGCAATGGACATGACCTGTCCATGCACTTTGGCTGTCACGAACCACTCCTTGCCATCTCGTTGTTTGAAGCTTTGGCTCTCCAAATCCAATGCATCCTTCCAGGAATGCACCATGATTCTCCATGATTTGGTATACATTCTCACATGTCAAATAGAGACCAGGACCAGGAGCTTCCTATCTTCGTTTCGCTACGAAGGCGGGAGGTCCAGGCACCGGCACCGCCAGGAGCAGAAGCAGGAGATCAAAGAGGCCTTCGACTTGTTCGACACGGACGGCTCAGGCGGGAGCTGGGCCAAAGCGGCACTCGACATGTCGGACGTCTCATGAGGCATCCTGAAAGGAAAAGGGGGGGCAAGTTGGTGCATTCCACATCCCTTGAGGGAAAAACTGAATCGAAGCGATTGGACTAGTTCTTGGACTAGTTCATACTCTGTTGTAACTGTTGACATTATATCAATGTAATCATTGAATGCTGGTGCAGGCAACTCGGTGCTGTAGTCACTGCAGGGCTGTGGATTGTTTTTCATGTTTGATTCTATTGGATGGCATAGGTCTATCAGGGTAGATCCTGGAGACTTAGGGTAGATCCTGGAGACTTACTGGCTTTGGCTTTCCATTCACTGGTTTTCCCCAGACTCAAGTGACTCAAGTACCTACTACTCTATTGGATATGCCTCGCACGCGCAATTTGTTACCCGCAGGCGCCCTTGACCCACCATGGGCCCACCTGACCTCGCACCTCGCAGGCGAGATCGACTCCAAGGAGTTGAAAGTGGCGATGCGCGCGCTGGGCTTTGAACCCAAGAAGGAGGCGCGCGGTTTGAGCGAAAGCATCGGATGGGTCGAGTTGAGAGCGGAAGCAGAAGGGATGAGAATGGAGGGGAACCTGCAGGTCGAGACCAAGACGAGTCAGTTTCGTTGGAGCGTTTGGGGTGCTATGGTGCTTTTTCTTTCCCCCTGTTGATGGTGCTTCCGACCGGCCCGACATGGTTTATATATCCGATATCCATCGATATCCATTATTTACCTCATTGCCTGGTGGTTTGGCCCAAAGGGATGCACAGTGCTAAATGGCCATAGTTCAGACGGGCACCAACACCATCCGACCCATTGGTCAGGTTGAAGTAGGCCAGGCTAAAACCAGTGGGTCCCTGGCCCCTAGTCCACAGGACATTGGGTGAATCTTATTCCGTGATCATTCGCAGAGGAACCACACGGGAGAACGTTGTTCCAGTGGCACGTCCGTGGCTGCTATGTTGTTACCATTGGTTAAAAATGGGCTGTTGATCCTTGGCCAAATCCTCCGGGACGGTGTGCCGCTGGGTGAAGAAATCGCCGACGGGCGGCAGGAGATCCAAAAGATGATCTCTGATGCTTGACGGAACTGGGCTTGACGGAACAAGCATCCTGGGACAGGCTTCCTGGGACAGTTGGCTGTTTCGGGTGTGGGCAAGCCCTTTGGGGCAAAGATTTAGTTCCACATAGGGACGTTGACTTGTGCGTATATATTTTGTTTTTCTGGCCTGCTGCAGCAGGTAAGTCAGTGCAAACATGGCCGAGGACGTGGATGATGATGGCTCAGGGACCATTGGCTATGAGGAGTTTCTGAAGATGATGACGCACAAGATCTTGAACCGTGACCCAAAGGACCAGAGCCGGCCCTCCACGCCGGAGCGGTCGCAGTCCTGCGCTCAGGGAAATTCTGTAGGCCCATAGGGGTCAGGTAGCAGCATTCCGAATGGAGTGTATTGGAAGAATTGTACACACATCGTTTGCACAAATCAATTGAGGGAGGGAAGGGAACATAAAGAGTCCATCGTCAACAGCCCATGTGCCCGTTTGGAGGCTTCCCTTCCACCAAGCGTTCAACTCCCACCAGCCATTTTTTCCGTCGCTCAGCACGTGTTTTTGTGACCGATTTCCGGCGGCCGAGAGCCGAGCGCTCCGAGCGGGGCGAGGACGAGATTTTGAAGGCCTTCCGCTTGTTCGACGACGACGAGACGGGCAAAATCTCCTTCAAGCCGCTTTTGATCGACAAAGCAAAAAACATGAACTTCGGGACGGACAGACGAGTTATCTATTGTATTATTGTGGGGTGCCTGCAATGGCTATAGAAGGTGGTTTGACAGTTGTTGAAGTTCAAGACCCGTGTCCGGACATGGAGATGACATGACTTTGTCCATGACTTTGTTCAAACTGATTTCAATGGATGCCAGTCTAAGTTTCTTTTGTGCCAATGACATCCCACGATTTTGTCCAAGCTTCCAAGCCTTTATGATGTGTGTGTGTGTGTGTCAACTCCTTTTGTCCATCCCTTGGTATATTATATAGCGGGAAACAAGCGTATCCCGCGCCGTGTTTCTACATCCGGTGTTTTTGATTCACCCTTTTGGGGGTGCTTTTTTCAGACTTGTATTTCTTAACCCCACGTTCCGGATTCATTTGTTCTCCTCACACTTTTCAAACATGTGCCCCATAGTATTCCAATGCTATGGGGGCTCAATGAGTTCTGGCACTTGCCGCCACTATATAGCCGGTTTGAAAGATGAAAGAACCGGAGCGAGCTTGCAATATCAGCAACATCGGCCGTTGTTCCGTCATACTACCTCAAAGCTCCACAGCAGCTGGGACAATCTGTGGAAACCAAACCGAGAGGTGTGGAAAAGGCACCTATATAAAAAGTGAGGGTGACGACACGACATAAGGTCCCGAGTCCTGACTACCTACGTTGGCAAGTCGAACATGTTAACATGTTAGACGTTTTTTGCGTGGATTGCTTCATAATCATAGGTTCTGATGGTTCCTTCGTTTAAATGCTGTTATGTGATGGTCACTTAGTCATTTGTTCCTGCTATTAGGGATATAGCTTTCTCCACCCGCCCCAAGATCTCGCGCGTGGCCGAGGAATTTAAAGCGCGTGGCCAAGGAGCTCGGCGAACGCATGACCGATGAGGAGCGGCGCTTGTTCGCACACAGGTCGACAAGAACACGGCATCACTGGGGGAATCCTGTGATAACACGGCATGCCTTGTCATAGATATGGAAGAGCGCTTGGGGCTATCACTCTTCAGTGCTGGATGGTCGAAGTCGCGCCCACCGCTGAAGTGTCGGACGCGAAGCGGTGAAGAGTTCGCCGGAAAACACCGGTGTTTTTGATCCACCGGAATGGAAAAACGGGTTGCACATGGTAGAATTAGTATTGGTGTGATGTGCGTGTCTTTCCATATGTGTGCACCAGTTACATGGGAAGATGTGGACAACGTGCATTTAACATGGGAAGATGTGGAGAACGTGCGAGGAAAGGATTGTTTGTGCTTGTCCTTTTTGCCAGCATGAACATTAATAAATATACTTGCCAAGTGAGTAGATACTGCGATCTGAAGCATTCTGAAACAAACTTTGTGTCACCTGTTGATGCAACGCGCCATTTCCAGTGACACAGATTGTGTGAAAAGCAAGCAAATGATAGTAAATGGATAGTAATAGTATACTAGACTGTAATCGTTTATCATAGTACATCTAATAGTTTCGACGTCCGCATGCCGCACCGTTTTAAAGAGACCTTTTCCCACCCCTGAGAAAAGGTCCGCACGCTAATGGGCTGACCACCTGGGCGATACATGGTGACCACCTGGGCGATACCACCAAATCTTAGTGGACCATAGGCACTGCTTTCAAGCAAAGGGGGGGGGTGCTCCACTCAGTTGGGGAGGATATATATATATAGAGTACACATAATCTGTATATCATCTACTGTAATTATTTTCCTCGAGCCTTCTATCATCCTCATGATTTTCGGATTGTTTCCCCTTCAGGAGCTGCAAGAGATGATCGATGAGGCCGACCGCGACGGCGACGGTGTCTTGGAGTTGTGGGCGTGGTCCCGCATCCGGGAGGCAACCGTCAGGCTATCAGGACCGGCAAGTCATTATCCAACATGGAAGGGGAGGTGTTCAATCCTAGCTGAGGTGTATTGCTATCGTTGCTGAAAACTTTTTGTGAGTGCAGACAGCAATGGCTGGGTTTCACCCATGACAAGCCATCGAAAATGTCAAGAAAAAGCAAGGTTGCGTTTTGATGGTGTGCTGCTGCTAAAGCTAAAACTAAAGCTAAAGCTTAGTGGTTCTAGAGCCCCCTCCAAAATGTTGAGGCGAGGGGAATCCCTGAATATCCTCCAAAGGTAGGGTAACGACTAATTGAATTTCTTAGGTGAGGTGTACCCTCGTCCGAGTTCACGGGTTTGCAGATCTATGCCTTTTGCAGATCTATGCCACAGTGGCTTTGGCTTGGACGGAATGTGAGGCTCCAATGCTAAAGCCATTGCCAACTTGTAACTATCGGAGCAATTCACGACCGGAGCACTTCCGCTGCTTGAGGTGAAGTGAACGAAGAAGAGTTCCTTCGCATCATGAAGAAGACCAACCTCTTCTGAGCTCCTTTGCATCACATGTAGCGAGGTGGTGGATTTCACAATTGGTGACCACCCATGAAGAGTTTGTTGAAACTCGGAAGTAGAGTGTTTTCCTGAAATTTAATGTTCACGACCTTGCTCAAGGTTCCTTTGTTGCGTTTTGGCATTTATTATATAGACGTTTTAAACATCACCAGTGGGTGGGCAATGTGGTCGATCCAATGGCGGTGATGCCGAGTGATACCCTAAAAGAAGTCAGGGTCCGTTTCTACAATCAAAAAGAAGGCCGCAGCCCCTGGTTTACCAAATTGTGTCTTCGATAATGTTCGATGTTGGTACCCCCCGTTTTATCTAAATAATAAGTATATAGTTAATTAAACATGATGCAGGAGGTGATGAGTATCAATATAGGGGTGGCTGTCGGTCGTTGAAAGCATTTGACCTTCACAAAGGAATGAACTGGTGTAAAAACAAAAAACAACTTTCCACATGCAAAGTTCTACCTGTTTTCGGGCGCGCCGCCTTGTTCATCAGTCCATTGTGAAAAAGTGGAGTCGCCAAAGTGTTCGCCGGGGCTGACCAAAAGGATGCTACTGGTAGCAAAAGGTGGATGTGTATGATGCACAAGATTGATTCTACATATTGTGGCTGTCAGATTTTAGTTGTTGAGCAGGTTTCCAGTTTTTGCTCACAAATGACGCTGCAACGGCTCAGGTGGAAAACGCGCAGCTGCCAGGCAGCTGGGCCAGAGTCCTTGGCTTCGTGTTTCTGTACGCGCTGGGCCACACCGTACCCCACCGGTGGGAGCGGATTCAATGACTTGACCAACAGGATCCAAAAGGAGTTTAATTGCTGCGGCCGAACGAGTTGCGCGGCGTGGGGTGCTACCCTCCTCGCACAAGCATGGAAGTGTGAAAGTACTGGAAAACAGTATTTCCCTATAGGGATCCAAGTACCTCAGAAGGATTTGGACCCTCTAAACCCACCCCAAACACCTCGTTAAAAAAGTACTTGGAGCCCTACGGTTTTTGAAGACAACAATTTGTCATTACAGAGGTGACAGAGGTTTACAGAGCTGCTCAGCTTTGACGATGGGCTCGTTTGATGCACCCTGAGGCATCCTGAGGCCTACCGTGGCGTGCACGTAGACGTTGACCACCCGCTTTGACTGGGTGTGGCAGCTACAAGATGAGGGGCTTAGACAACTCATGGACTCGTAGGATGTTTTTTTGGTCGGATCATCGCAACTGAGTGTTGGCCAGAGTGTTTTGTTTCCCTTGTTCCTTCCCTTATTGCTCATGTTGAACAAGTTTGGCGTTCATTCTAGACAAGAACGGTGATTGTTTTCGGGTCATGTGAATGGTGCTGGCTAGGGGGCATGCGTCCAGACTAAAGGTCGCTCCCCATGCTTTTGCTGTGCCCTTCAGAGGATTTCCACCATCACTCAGCCAACCTACCTTTCTCCTCTCAATCTGGACTCTTTACCAGATCTGGAGCATGGAGTTCGCCTTTGGCCCTTGAAGATATAATGTGTTTGCAGAACATGACATGAATGCTCGCATGACATGTATACGGTATACGTGTGAAATCTGCATTGTTTGGGTGGAAGTGTGAACCAGCGTGTTTCAAACAAATACTCCAAAAAACCCACTGATCCATGCGGCCGAGGATAGCACTACCACAAGCTCACGAACTCAGGCTCTCCAACACATTTAGGGTAGGAAGCGTTGCCTGAGCCCCCCTCATTGCTGACGGCTTGACCAGCATTTGGCCAATGCAGTGAATGACAAAAAGGACAAGTGCATCTATGTCTCCACGGGGCACATCGACAGAGGCTTTAAAACGTTCACCTTGGGCCCCAACTGCTTGATCGCCCTTTCTTGTGCTGTCTAAGTTGCTTCAATCATTGTTCTGTTTATAATGTTCTTTCACCAGCATGGTAAGACTGAAGCTGAGAAAGAACAGCCACATCCAGCCACCAGTACTGATCGCAGCAAACCTCCCCAGGCAGATGTGACTGGACATCCCTTTGTTGGATGTTGGTGCCAGCAATTCTGAGTGCAACAGTGCAACTGATAGGGTTCGGATACATTCCGTGCGCGTTTCCACGGGGTTCAGATCTCCAAGTCTTTACCAGCAAGAAGAGTGACAACTACAGGCCCAAGCCACTCAGATTCCTAGCAAAAAGGACAATGGTTGGGGGTTGCGTGGATATCACAAGGAATCGATGCAAGAACCCCCTTCAATAGGGCCCCCCTATACCTTGCGACTTGCCCGCTTGGAAAGCTTGCCTGCCATTGGACATGATGTCCTACTCTTTGGACAAGATCATCTCAGATCATCCTCTCCCATGCAACATCTCCTAACAAACATGTCTAGGTTTCTTGCATAGCACCGTTTTCCATGCATTTGAAGCTTCCGTGTGGGTATTATCAATATAGATAATGCTCGGACACCACGGAGCCTATGAGAGGGTCTTAGTAAGCCTGACAGGAGACACAAAGATAGAAGATATGTGTTCCCCCTAGGGTTTCCACTTGGTGGTGATCCATGTGCCCTTGCGAATCGGCCCGATGCATTCGGCACACGTCTTTGGCGGCTCGACGGGCGGCTCCAGTTGCACCTTTGTGCCGGCACAGGGAGGCCTGTAACAGGGATTCCGCTATAGTAACAAGTGCCACGCTAGTAGTAACAAGTGCCTTACTAGTAGTAACAAGAAGCTAGTAGAAACAAGTGGGAAAATTACAATTCGGAGTTCTGAGGGATTGAACAGCAACAGTTCTGGGCTGAGCACCGGACCAGAGAGGACGAACGAGTGGGCAATGAAAGGCATACTCGCAGTCGGCCACCGATCCCCAATTAGACGGAAAGGGACAGGGACAATAAGAGTGTAGAACCCTTGACCACTGTTCCCGCGTCCAAGAAGGGATCTTGCCCCTTGATCGTGCGCAGTCTTTGCAATAACTTGTAATTAGGGTTAAAACATATGTCAAAGGATTCAATGATCAACATGAGACCCTGAGATGAGGATGCGACAATCCCCGGCCCACGAACTTTGGTGTTCCAGACTGGCCTCACAGTACTTGACCCTGAAGGCGTAGTCTTAAAACCTTCGTTGCACTTCAGCACGGCGGTGGGTGGACATTCCATTTGCGAAACACCCCCGGCTTGCCACGATGGCAGGGGAGCCGCCATGGAGGGCGCCATGGTGGATGTCCCGCCGGATGCCCCAGAGGGTGTCAGTGTTGGTCGTTCAGAGGGTGTCAGTGTACCCTGCTCCACGTATTTGATTTTGATTCTTATCTCGAGAGTGAGCGGCCGAACTCAAAATGAAGACCTTCAGCTCCATCATCGCTTTGTAGCGTTAATCATCACAAGACCCATCAAGCCCCCAACAAAGCAAAGGTGGAGCTGCACATTTTGGTAAGACTGAAAAGCTGAGACACTACTCCTTTCGCAGGGCGATGTGTTGTTATTTTTTGATTTCTCCCAATGTTTGTTGACGTTTGCGGCCGTGAGTGTGTTTCATGCTTCACCTGTTACTGAGGCAGACTGCACCGTCGGTGGGGGCGCCAGAGTTTGCAGGGTCCGTGGATTTGCCATGTAACAAAGACGAGTCAGTGAGATTGGATGAGCATGTATGAGGTCAAATTTACATTTGTTTGTATCTAGCCAGCATCAATAAACATGCAGGTGAGACATGGTGAGACTAAGAAACAACTCCACCTGCATGGAGAAACAACTCCACAACGCCACCTCACAATCGATCAATGGGGGAAACGCTTCTTGAGCCGAGGGACTGCAGCCCACGCCACCCTCAGAGCCGCGCAGTGTGCCTTGGAGAAGCGGATCGCGTCGTCGCCCAGCGAATCAACTCGAACGACATGGGCTCGGCGCTTCATGGTACGGTTTTCAGCCGGGCCAGGGCGATGCCAGAAGCCCCGTTCGCAGCATCCTTGCTCCTAGTAGTAAGGCCAGGAGCCCCTAGTAAAGCAAGTGGGAATTGGATGGAATATTGGTATGTTAAGATGTCGTGTTAACCCTTGCCTTCCAAAGGTTAAACGGTTGAACATGGTTGTCGTAGACAGACGCTCAAAATTAAACCTATTTTAGGCTCTCATACCTTGGAAAACTCACGCAACCTCATGTCAAGTGTCGACCTGAACATTTTGCGAGTCTTCCACCTTCGCTTCGCCACCACTGTATGGCACCAACACACACAGGCCCCAGCCAAGAAGTATCCAGTGAGCTAGTTCTTCTGGAATACAAGCATTGTGAACCATCAGCTTGCTCCATCCATTTCCGGGCTCCATATTGGCTGGCTCAAACTTCTTCAGAAATGTGCAGACACACAGCGACTACCAGCTCCATTGATCATGCCAACATCTCATTGTATCAATTCCGCAGCAAAGCAGAACAACATGTGGCCTCAACAAGTTCTTGATAACGTCCACAGAGGCTATTATATAAGTAAAACTTAGTTTGTTACACCAAGTAAAACTTTGTCGTTGTGGAAAGACTGCGTCTTGCCTAGCAAATCTTCGTCGAGCTCAAGGACTAAGTTCAGGTTGGTCGTTTAAGGTTAGTGTCAAGTTTTATTTGGAACAGTTCAATCATCGGTAAACCTGCGTCGTTCTTCGCTGCTTGAAAACAACTGTTTGACTGATCCAACGCTGTTGAACAGAATGTGGTGGACTTCTAGAAGTGAAGAGTTGTTGGGTTGGATTGCCCTACCCGTCCCCCAAAAGGATCCAAAAGGGCCTGAACAAAAAGCACTCAGCACAACGAGCGTCATCGATGCCAGACTCGACACCTCCGCTCCCCATCTCAGGCCCTGTCCGTCCCAGCGTGGGCACCTTAGGAAGCAGAGGCACGTGCAGGTGAACAAGGAGCAATTCATTTGGGGCTGGGTCATGTGGGATAGTATTTAGATGTATTTAGTTTTATATATATATTCACTATGACTATTAGTAGCTTGACTCTTGAGAATCTAACAGTTTTTCATCTTTCCTGTGCCAGGCTGAGGCTGCCAAAGATCAGGTTTTGTTTTTCATCAATAGGACTCAGTGAGTGCCTTTTTTGGAAGAAGACCCAGAACCACAGAGTGCTCGTTTACTAGTCCTAAATATGGCTGCCGGGCCCGAAGCTCGCAACGGGCTGAGGAAAATGGCCATGGTGACCCTCCTTCCTTTGAACTCCTTTGCGGTGACCGTGAATTGGACCGCCAGCTTTGCTTCACGGGGTGCACTGTCAAGAGGGTCACGTCAGAGAACTGATCCTCATTGACGCTCGAAACAAGCTGAGCGGGTTCGAGGTTGCAACGGACTTGGAGTCGTACCGGGGGCAGCTTGAGGTAATCGGGTAGATTGGAATCCATCCATATGCATCCATGCAGTGTTTCCTATCCTTTCCCTGGATACATGCTGTACTACGCTTATGGTAGTGCTTATGGTGTGACCCTCAGATTGTGATGACACGTAGGATGCAATCTCATTGTTCGAGTGTATGACCGATTTAGGAAAGTTCTGCTACCATGGTCTAAATCGTGATACCGGGTATTGCTTTGCTAGTGCCAACATGCGAGTTAGTTGCGGGATAACGCATCCTTAACACAACGCAAGCCTTTTGGAAAAGCCACAGCGTCACACCTACAAAACTCAGACAGCATCACAGTATGTTTGCCGTAGTTCCACCCGAAAACGGATGTGTACAGGAGATCGCCCGATTCGGCGGACGGGGCGCCGGCCGGTGCGCCTCGGGTCACCCTGCAGGACTCCACCGGCCGACGTTTTCTCAAGGAAATCTCGCAGCGTACGGGGCCCCGACGGAGACATTTGGGCGGGTCAGAGCAAGTTCCAGC